TGCGACCCTCCCCAGCTGTGTAGCGAGCTGTGTGCACCCATCTTGTTACCAGCGCTCGTGGCCGATCTGACCTCCAGCACGGACCTCAGCGCTGCCCTCCGGTAAAGAGAGGCGTCGCTGCACTTTCATTAGAGTCTTGTTTATTTTCGAGTTGCTTCCTAGGTATACACGCAGAACACACTCTGGAGACACCATCCATGACCAGGGCCAGACAGTTCTCAGCAGAGTGGCGGAGGGGCCAGTGGAGGATACCAGGGGTTTAGAAATGGTTCCCCTCTGCTCTGGACAAATTCAGCCCAGGGTTAGGGCTGGGCTCTGAGAACGTCTAGTGACTTTCAGGCCTACAGTCTCAATCAACACCAGCTTGGGTGGGTTTCTAAAGGCCTCCACGGTCGCCTAGCAGCCAATCCCAGATGGCCACACCTTAAGTTAGCTCCACATGCACATGTACGTACACACAAACACACATATTTTTAAATTCATCAGCATGAATAGCCCCTTGGAGAAAAGCCCAAGACGGCCATCACGTTGCACGTGCTTAACTATTTTTATCTCAAAGAGACTGACAAATTAAGCTCCGAAGGGGAGAAAAACGTGTACTAAAAGCACAGCAGCTTACTTATTAGGGCTCAAGTACACGTATGTAGGGACACTGGATTAATGTGGTCATAGAAACATGACAAATAAGCGCTGCACTTTGTACGAATTTGTTCAGACACTATTTTGTCTTGTTCCTGGCCCAAAATCAAAGCATTTATTCCTAAGCAAAATACAAGCACAGCAAATTATGTTCCTTTCTTTATCATTCCCAACAGAAAATGGGTGCCTGCTCCAAATTTCATGTCCAGGCAAGAGGGAAGGAAGATGCTCTGCTGTCTTCCGATGGCAATGAGATGAACACTGGGTATATAGATGGACCCGAGACATACATTCCCACAGAACTAGTAGAAACCCACCTAATGCCACAGCATTTTGGTTTGGGGATCTTCTCAGAACCTTGTTGTAAAGCTCCAGAATTACTTAAGAGGAATTGAAAGCCTTGATGCTTCTGAGACCCAGCATGTGAGTTGGGGAAATGAGAGGACGGAGCTGGAAAAGAGATTGTACTTCTGCAAAGGGGCAGCCAGAACGAAACATAACCCCATTCCCAGAGAAAGAAAAGTTTCCTTATTCTTCCCTCCTTTGCTGCATTGAGCCTCACTTTACAGATGTCCCCAAGCTGATTCCTTGGGTGGCATACTGACCATAACCAAGCATTCTCAGGACGGGTCTGCATGACAGTCCTCAACTGACGGTTATATTCCCTGCGACTTTGAATGGAGAGCAAAACCCTTCCTCCATTTGGATGCCAAGTGTTTTAGACTCCACTTTAAAGAGTGATGTCAAGTATTCCTCAGAAATGTGTGCATTAACTCTTTGTCTTTGGGCATTGAAGAGGCGGCAGAGGGACCATTGGCCTGACTCAGGAGTCCTGGGTTTGAATGTGAGATCTGTGATGGAGACCTTCCAACAACCTACGGACTTTTCATTTCCCAAGATGTCTTCCACTTTTAAGAGCCAATGGATGAGCCTTTTACCAGCTTTGCCTGGCTGGGTTCTAGAAGGAGGGTAGCACCAGGAAGAGAAAAGAACAAGACGCAGGGAGTGGAGACTGTATCCAGAGTCTGAAAGGCCTGTGTTTTCCTTCTTTATTCTCGTCTGCCAAACAAAAAGCTTTTTATTGCCAGTCTTCGCCACCTACTGGTTGATGTTTAACAATATCATTCAGAAAGTTTCTTCACCCATCACCAATATAAATATCCAAAGTTTATGAAATTGAAAAAGAACTAGTCTAATTTGGAAATTCTATACTAATATTTAATATAGGTATGCATAAAATCTTCCTAACAAACTTTTTACTTAAAATGAGGATAGAGAGACAGCATTAACTGAGAGGAAACTTACAACTAATAGGTAAGATGAAAGAGCTAAAATATAAAACATAACCCCCAAACCATTCAGGCAAATGGAAATAAAAATAAATCCATACACAAAACAAACTGACTGGAGAGAGTAAAATCAAGTAGTCCACATAGTCTTCACAAAGGAAAAAATAAACTGCTTAAAAAATAACATTTCACAGACCTAGATAAACAATCCAAAACACTAATTTCTAATTTCGAGTATCTTCTAAATTATTGTTTCCAGATTTATTGAAATATAGTTGGCATAGTATTTTATACATTATAAATTCTTATGCTAAATAGCGCAACACTTTCAGAAAGTTTGCATGCTTTGCTGGCAAAAATTATGTAATCATGTTACTAATTAATTACTAATATAAATACTAACAGTAATATTCTTCCCAATTCACCTATGCTCCCGTGTCTTCTGCTGTAAGAGTGATCATATCTGAGTTGTCTGCTCCATGCTCTCAAACCATCCTTGTCATCATCAGGAAACCCTTGCCAAATCTAAACCAATGAGCTCTGGTTTAACCTAGAAACCCACCTGGCTAATTTATAATGGGTCCTAAACCTCAAAATATGTTTACAATAATTAAGCAACAACCTTTGAAACTAGGCAACGAACAGCAGATCAATCATCCTTTGTGCAAGTTTCATAGCAGGCAAATGTTGCTTACTTTTGGTTTACAAAGGAAAGCACCGGAAATTCACTCGTGGTAATTTTTTCCTTTCAACTTAATGACTGCTTTTAAAGTGAAATAAAAGAGGAGAAACGTATACTTTTCAAATGCCTACTGCTCTCATTGGATTGAAACTGTACTAACAGAACCAAACAACCTGAAACACCATGGAAGTGAGGGGGTTAACAAATAATTTACATTCTTAATGTGCAAAAAACAAATGTTACTCTCTTTGCTAGTAGGCACAGAGCACAGTATCTCCCAAATATTAATTCCTGATGAACAAGGGTACTTATTGTGTTTGATTCCTAAGGCTGGCATGACAAAATACCACAACCTGGGGGCTTAAAACAGAAATGTATTCTCCTACAGTTCTGGAGGCCTAGAATCCAAAATCAAGGTGTGGGCAGGGCCATGTTGCCCCCTAAACTCCAAGGGAAAGGCCTTCCTTGCCTCTTCCAGCTTCTGGTGGTAGCTGGCAGACCTTGGCTTGTGGCTGCATCACTTGTCCCTGCCTCTGTGGCCACAGGGCATTCTGCCTGTGTGTCTCTTTTCCCCTACTGTAAGCTCGCCAGTCATTGTGGATTAGGACCCTAATAAATTCATCGTAACTTGATTATTTCTGTAAAGGCCCTATTTCCAAATAAGGCCATATCTGCAGGTACTGGGGGTTAGGACATCAACATGTTTTGAGGGCACACCACTGAACCCACAATATGCATCCAATATGATACCTTTGAAGGCCCAAGGACTCAGCAAACTTTGAATTTCAAGAGGGAACCACAATATTTCTAAAGCTGAAACCTGGCCATTTCATGTTTCTGCTTAAAGTTGTTCAGAGACTAAAATCTCAGCTCCTGTGCATAATGTGGCCCAAGCCCCTACCTGGGCATCCTTCCACTTTCCTTTCTTCTTGCAGCTATATTACGTTTGTGTACTTTCTGGAATATGCCAAGATCTCTCACGTCTTTTGCCTCTGCACCTCTGCTTGTCTCCCTGAAATACACCCAACCTCATGGCAAATTCATACTCATTCCTCAAGTTTCATCTCCCCTGGAAGATCATCCCTGACTTTCTTGGGGAGCCTGATTTCACTTGTACCACTAGAAGAGATTTTGTACAGAGGATGGGAACTTAGAAGTCAGAAAAAAGGGATTTGAATCCTCACTCTATCGCTTATAGGTGCGACCTTAAGCGAGTTCCTGTGCCCTCATTTATAACACAGGGATATAAATGGTACTGCAGTAGCCCCACGCACCATATCCTCAGTTTCACTTACCCACAGTCAAACGAGGCCAAAAATATTAAATGGAAAATTCCAGAAGCTATTCCTAAGTTTTAAATTGTGCACTGTTCTGAGTATCATCATGTACTCTCTCACCATCCCGCTATGTTCCACCTGGGAGGTGGACGCTCCCCACCCATTAGTCCAGGGGTGGGCAAACTTTTTGACTCGAGGGCCACAATGGGTTCTTAAACTGGACCGGAGGGCCGGAACAAAAGCATGGATGAGTGTTTGTGTGAACTAATATAAATTCAAAGTAAACATCATTACATAAAAGGGTACGGTCTTTTTTTTCAATAGTTTTATTCATTTCAAAAGGGCCGGATCCGGCCTGCAGGCCGTAGTTTGCCCACGGCTGCATTAGTCACTTAGTAGCCATCTTATCAGGTCAGCAGTCCTGGTTGCAGTGCTTGTGGTCATCACCCTAATTTTATTCAGTAATGCTACACTCATATAACTTTTATAGCAACAGATTATTCTAATTATATTACTAGTTGTTTTTAATTTCTTACTGTGCCTAATCTATAACTTCAACTCAGT